CACGGAGGAGGTAGGGATGGGGCTGGGGGGGTTGGGGAGGTCCCCACCGACCCCCTCGTCACCCACCCCTTCTCCTCCAGAAAGTGGCATCAAGCTGGACCTTCGCAGCCACGGACATCCGGGGGGTCAGGTGAGTGTGTCCCCTGCCCCCTCGCCAGCGGGACCGAGGACGCTCCCCGGGTGCCCACAGCCCCCGTGCCCGCCCCGCCGGCAGCAGCAGCCCCAGCGCTGATGGGGAAGGGGGTCCTCTCCCCCCAGCATCTGCAAATCCGACGAACGGGGCTGCTTCCTCTACGTGATGCAGGCGGAGGAGGATTTCCAGCTCTACTTCCCCTCCCAGCAGCACTGCCAGTGGTGAGTGGAGGGGTGGGGGGCACAGGGACCCCCACGTTGCTGGTGGGGGACTCCCAGTCACCCTCCTGGTGAGTGGGTAGGGATGGGAGCTTGCTATTTCTTCCCTACCTTAATTCCAAGGGGGAAAGGGGTGTCCTAGGGACCCAACCCCTGCAGCTGGGTCCCACAAAGCAGGGTGACACAGGACGCCCCCCCCTTGCGTCACTGGTGGGGGACAGACTGGGAGAGGGAGCAGGAGCCCCTCAGTGGGTCCCCAGCACCCTCACCGGGGCTCAGGACCATCATCCTCCCGCCGGTAGGTTTTCTGACCAGATCCAGTCCCTCTTGGCTGAGCAGGCGACGGGCAGCGAGGAGGTGCCCAGCCCCACGCAGCCCATCCTGGAGGTAAGACGGAGACACGGGGGGACGTGGGGTGACACGGGGCGCGGGGTGGCACAGGCTGGCACCCCACATCCCTGCCCACAGTACAGCTACGAGTACTCTGAGACGGGCGAGCGGGTGGTCCTGGGCAGGGGGACGTACGGGGTTGTCTACGCCGGGCGCTGCCTCAGCAATCAAGTGCGCATCGCTATCAAGGAGATCCCAGAGCAGGACAGCCGGTAGGTGACATACTGGGGGGTCCTGGGGGGGGGGAAGGGTGTCCCTGGGCAGCCCCTCACCCCAGTGTCCTGCCACGCAGGTACTCACAGCCCTTGCACGAGGAGATCGCTTTGCACAAGCACCTGCGGCACAGGAACATCGTGCAGTACCTGGGCTCCATCAGCCAGGACGGCTTCATCAAGATCTTCATGGAGGAGGTGCCAGGAGGTGGGCGGCGCTGGGGATGGGATTTGGGGGTCAAAGGGGGACACACGGCCATATGTGTGGCCTAAATGGCCCCCTCCCCCCCCCCCATGACCCCTCCCCAGGGAGCCTCTCATCCCTGCTGCGCTCCAAGTGGGGACCCCTGAAGGACAATGAACCCACCATCATCTTCTACACCCGCCAGATCCTCGAGGGGCTCAGCTACCTCCACGATAACCACATCGTGCACCGTGACATCAAGGTGAGGGGGTGGGGAGCACCACCCATCAAGGCCTGTCCCCCCATCTCAGAGGGTGCTGGGGAGCCAGGAGCTGCCCCTCCACACCCAAAACCCCTGGGGTGATGCCCCACGGCCCTGCATGAGCTCCAGGAGCTTTTGGTGGCTTCGTTTTATTTTGGGCTGCCCTTCCCGTGCCAGGGAGACAACGTCCTCATCAACACGTACAGCGGGGTGCTGAAGATCTCCGACTTTGGTACTTCCAAGCGGCTGGCAGGCATCAGCCCCAGCGCCGAGACCTTCACGGGTAAGGTCAGGGGACGGGGTTCCCCCAAATGAGGGGTGGTGTGGTGCTGAGGGCCAGGAGATGCTGGGATCTGCATCCTTGCACCCAGCACGGGGAGAAGGAGGACCGGCCCTGGGGAGAGTTTGGGTGATGGATACAGCCTCCTGCCACCCCTCCTCATCCTCTCCCCAGGCACCCTGCAGTACATGGCCCCAGAAATCATCGACCAGGGGCCGTGGGGCTACGGGAAGCCAGCGGACATCTGGTCCTTGGGCTGCACCATCATCGAGATGGCCACGGGCAAGCCCCCCTTCTACGAGCTGGGCAGCCCCCAGGCTGCGATGTTCAAGGTACCCATGGGGTTGAGCAGGGGATGGGGGGGGTTCCCCAGCCCTGAAATTTCCCCTCTCTTGGGGTGGCTGGTCCCTTTTCAGCCCCACGCATGCCTCCCCCTCCAGGTGGGGATGTTCAAGATGCACCCGGAGGTGCCCGAGTCCATGTCGAGCAAAGCCAAGGCGTTCATCCTGTGCTGCTTCCAGGCCGACCCAGCCAAGAGGGCGACAGCCGCCGCGCTGCTGCGGGAACCCTTCCTGGCTGATGCCAGGAGAGCCCGGAGCCAGCCCGTGCCCCCGGCGGGGGGTGAGTCTGGGGGGGGATATGAGGGAGCCTGGCGTGAGCTGCTAAATAACCATCTCCACCTCCCTTGTCTCCCCGGCAGGCGGTCTCCCCCGCTTTGGGCAGCAGGACGGGGATGTGGAGGGCAGCGACAGGAGCAGGGGATGTTCCTCAGCCAGGCAGGACACCCCGGGGAGGGGCACAGCGGGCAGCCCCCTGCTCCCGTGCCACCGCAGTGAGGCAGCCTCCAGCCACTGTTCTTTGGGGTAGGGCATCCCGGACATGGGGCGATGGAGGGAACCCGGGGAGGGGGGTGTTGGCTTTCTGCCTCCCACGGTACCCGCTCCCCCTGCCATGACCCCACAGGGCCCCTGCCCCATGCCAGGGCACCACATCCCTCCCCGTTACAGCCTGGGGGGGGCTTGCGGGACGTCCCCCGTGCCCTCTGCCAAGCCCAATGGCTGTGTCCACCCCGAGGGTCACACTCCGAAATGCCTGAAGGCCGGGGAAGGGGTGGGGGGGTGGGGGGGCAGTGCCAACCCTCCCCACCTCCCCCCAGCACTGCCCAGGGCTCGGCCGGCTCCGACCACAGCCTGCGCTCGTCCTCCCCCGAGGAGAGCGGGGACGGGTTCCTCCTGCGGAAGGACAGCAAGCGCCGGGCCACGCTGCACCGCATCCTCACCGCCGAGGCGCCGGGCGTCATCGCCGCCTTGGAGGAGAGCCAGGTGGGTGCTGGGTGCCCCGGGGTGGTGGGTGGGCACGGTGACAGCCCCTGAGCATCTCCCTTGCTCGCCCAGAGCCCGGAGGGTGCGAGGTTGGGCTCGGAGCATCTCGCCCAGCTGCTGAGCTGCCTGCGGAGTTACATCCAGTGCCCCAGGCAGCCCCAGCTGCGCCGGGACCTCCTGGCACTGCAGAGCCGGCTGCGGGCGGAGGGGCTGAGCCTCCCCCACCTCCAGGCTCCCCTCGTCGGCTTCCAGGCAGCGGTGAGTGCCTGGGCTGGCGTGGGAGGGTGCTGAGTGGGTGATGCCCTGGCACGGGTGATGCTGCGGTGAGAGCAATGCCCTGACACGGGGATACCCCAGTGTGGGTGATGCCCTGGCACGGGTGATGCTGCGGTGAGAGCGATGCCCTGACACGGGGATACCCCGGTGTGGGTGATGCCCTGGCACGGGTGATGCCGCAGTGTGAGCGATAAGGATGATGATGATGATGGTGCCCTGGCACGGCTCTGCCCCTTCCAGGTGAGACGGGTGCTGCGCCGGCACCACATCAAACCCCACTGGATGTTTGCGCTGGATGATGCCGTGAGCCAGGCGGTGCAGGCGGCTTTCACCGTGCTGGTGGGAGGTGGGTGGCACTGGGGGGATGGCGGGCTGGGTCCCACTACCGTGGCTGGGTGGGTGGAGGAAGAGGGTGGCTGGCCCGGGGTGGGCTGGGGGACTTTGGGGTGCTGGGAAAGGGACGTGAGGAGGGGAGTCAGCACTGGGGCTCAGCTTCCCATTTTGTCACTGGTGCTCTGGGGCCCGAGGCCATCGGGCCCCTCTCTGTGCCCACCACTGCCTCTGCCCCCCCAGACCTGGGACTGAAGGCCAGCTGCCTGGGGGGGCACAGCACCAAGGGCACGTGTGATGAGGATGACCCCGTGCTGCCGAGGCTGTCGATCCCCAGGAGCCAACCCCAGCAGGACAGCACCAATTCGGGGCTCAGCACCTGGGCAGACCCCCTGCCCTCCCTGCCGGCTTCCTCGGCGCTGGTGGCACAGCTCTGCCACCTCCGCATGGAGACGGGCAGGTAGGGCTTCACTGATCCCTGTGCCCCCCCACCACCACCACCCCCAGCCCTGGGTGCCAGCCCATGCCCCCTGCCGGGTGCCAGCCCATGCTCTGCTCTCCCCCAGGCTGCTCCAGGAGCTGGCCGAGAAGGAGCAGGAGTGGCAGCGGCTGATGCAGCGGGTGCTTCCCTCCGGGGACGATGACACTGCCGTGGCCAGCTGTCCCCAGCACAGTGGGGAGCATGGGGAGGCCCCCCCAGGGCAGCATCGCTCACCCCCGAGCCCTGAACCCCCCCAGGGACAGGCTGACCCCCTTCTCCTCGAATGGCTGCAGCGGCACGGCACAGACCCGGCCACCACGGCCACGGTGAGGCCCACGGAGCTACGTGGGGACTTGGGGGTCGGGCCCCACTGGTGTGAGCCAGGAAGCCCCCCACGTCCACCATTTCCCCCCCCAACCCCTCTGCCACCTCCCACAGCTCCTCTCCCATGACTTCACCCTCCGGGACCTGCTGGGCTGTGCCACCCATGACGACCTCTTCTACGTGGGCATCAGGTACACCCAGCCCATGTTGCCCCTCCTGGCCTGGCCAGGGTGTGGAGAGTGGGGTGGCAGCACTGGGGGGGGTGGGACACACAGCGTGGTCCCCTCCCTCCACCAGCCCCCCACCCGTGTGTCCCAGCAGGCGTGGGCCAGCGTATCGCCTCTGGGCAGCCATCCTGGAGCATCGAAGGACCCTCACCCAGGGGGAAGGGGAGTGAACCCCGCCCTCCCCCCAAGGGGGTGGGGGGGACCCAGCCACCAGAGCCCTGGAGCTGCCACCATGGGGGCTGGCAAGACGGTGACAGAGGGGACAGCCCCATGCTGGGAGCAGGTGGAGACAGCAGCTCCAGCCCCACACCGGGGGGGAGAAGTTGGGGTACAGTGCCCAGAGCAATAAACAGCCGCCAAATGTGCCCTCCGGTGCCACTTCATTGCTGCCAAAACGGCTGGGGGGGCACAAACCCCAGCCCCACCCAGTGATGCTCCAGGCTCAGCTCTGTGTCCCCACCCCTCCCTGGGATCCCATAGTCCTGCTGCCACCGGGTGGTCCGTGGGGGGGGGGGGTGGGGGGCCCAGGGGCTATGCCCGGGGGACGAGGTTGGTCCGCAGGGGCAGCAGCGCTTCCACCCACTGCCCGGGCTGCTGGAGCAGACACCCCCACACCTCCCGCTCCTCCGCCGTCGAGTCCATCCAGCCCACCGGCAGCCCGTAGCTGCTCCCTGCGGAGAGACCACCACCGTCACACACACACCCCCCCCCCCGCCGGCCCACGGGGTGAGGGTACCCTGGGGTGCTTGGGGATCCCTCCCCCCGCCCCCCAACCTGTGCCCAGGCTGAGCCGGATGCCGCCGAGCTGGCGCTTGGAAAAGGCTTCGTGGTGCCAGAGGGTGAATTCGGCGCAAGCCTCGGCCAGGTCCTTGGCCTGGAAGCCGTCGTACACCATGGTGTGGTTAAAGAGGGGGTTGAGGCTCCGCTTCACCACCCGCGTCTTCTGCCGGCTCGCCTTGCTGTCGTCTGGCAGCACGTAGCTGGGGGGGGGGGGGTGGCAGCAGGGTGAGGGAGAGGAGGGGGGGCGAGGGGGCCACGAGCCCCTTTGGGTGCCCCCTCTGCCCCTTACCACTGCACAAAGGCATCCACGGTGCCGCTCTGCAGGGGGATGAGGCTCTGAGCATCCTTCACCCAGATGTGCAGCTCGCCCGTGGGTGGCAGCCCCCCTCCTGTGGGCGAGAGGGGTCAAGGGCACCCTGATATGTGGAACATCCCCCCCCCGCAAGGCACACACACACACACACACACACACCCCCACGGGCACTTCTCACCTTCCGAGCCGGCGGGGATGAACTTCAACGCCAAGTTGAGGTTGCCCCGGCTGGCGAGGCCATCCGAGGAGAGGGGCAGCTGGGGAGGATGGGGGGGGTTACGGGGGGCTGCGGATGGGGGTGGGGAGTGGGCTGGGGGGGGCTGGGGACTCACCCGGGGCTGGAGGTTGAACCACTCAGGACCTGTGTTGGCCCAGTCCCAGGTGCCCAGCGCGATCTCCACCTCCCCCAGGAAAAGGTTCCTGCCCAGGCTGTCGTGGTGCCACACCGAGAGGTTCAGGGTCCGGCCCTGCAGGTCCCTCTTCTCCAGCTTGTACTGGGAGGGAGGAGACACAGACAGGGTGAGGCTATCCACACCCCTCCCCCCACCCATCCCCCCTTGAACCAGGGCGACCCTCCCCCCAAAACCACCCCAAAGCAGGGTTAGAAACCTTGAGGGTCTCATTGAAGATGGGATCCAAGCTCCTCTTCCGCACCGTGGTCTTGCGCTTGCTGCGGTTGGACTTATCCGGCAGCAGGTACGTCTTGATATACCTGGAGCCCAAAAAAATGTGGCTGCAATGGGTCCCACCGGCCGTGGGCATCGCCCGGGGGGTTGCCACTCGGGGCCGGGGACACTCACGGGTCCGACCGCTGCTTCTTGGCCTCGGCCAGCTCGCGGCACCGCAGCACGTGGACCTGCAGCTCCTTCTTGGCCGGGTCGTAGCGGAGGGAGAACTGGACGCAGCCCCGCACGGCCACGCTGCCCAGCTCACCCTCGCTGTACAGGCTCATCAGGCTGCCGCTCAGCTGCAGGGGTGGTGGGAGAGGGTCGGGGAGGGGGGCTGGAGAAGTGACCCCCCCCCCCCCCACACACACACCAACAACCCCCAGCCCCGTACTGTGGAGGAGCTGAGGCTGGACACAGAGGAGCTGGTGGTCAGCAGGTTGTTCAGGGGTGCGTGGCCATTCTGCGGGGACACCCGGCACAGGGGCGTCTGATCCATCTTGGGGGTCCCCAGCCCCTGGAAATGCAAAGCAAAGAGGGGTCAGTGCCGCCCCCCCCAGACCCCCATCCCCAGTGCGGGCTCCTGAGGGCACCCAGCTCCCAGCAAGTGCCCAGTGCTTGGGCACAGCCCCATAACACACCTCTCAGCCCCAGACAGCCCCCCCCAACCCCATACAGCCCCTCCCTACCCTCCCCCCCAAGTCCCACCACCCCACCTGCCCAGTATCGGGGCCACTGCGAGTGGAGTCAGGCTCCTCCTCATCTTCCTCCGTGCTGGATGTGCCGAAGGGGTTCCCGACTGCTGTGTCACCTGCAAGGGCACGATGTGGGCTGGGGGAGGGGGGTGTCCCGAAACAGCAGAAATGGAGAGGAGGGGGGGGTGTCCCCTTTTTTCATCAAGAGAAGCGAGCAGGTAAGCGAGAGATGAGAGGCCATGACAGGTACCTGGGAGGAGGCAGGAGGCTGGTCAGCAGTGATGGGGGGGGGGAAGCTCCAACCCCCTAAATTTCAGCAGCACCGACCCCCCCACAATCAGTTACCTGACTGGGCTGGGACGTCCTGCTCCCTTGCTGGGATGTCACCCTGCCGCAGGGACTGTGACACTGGGGTCCCCTCCAGAACAAGGGCTGCGGGGCTGGGCTGTGAGGTACCACATAGGGGAAAGGGTAAAAATGGGCACCCACCTCTCCCCCACCTGCTCCCCTCGGTTCAGCCCCGCTGGGTCCCTGGGGACAGGGTGGGGGACATCTCCCCCCCCTCGCTCCCTACGCCACGCGGGGTTCAGGATCATACTTTGCGACACCACGCACAAAGCTGGTCCAAAAGGCATCATCCCCCCCACCTTGGGGTGACACTGCGGCTCTGGGGTCACGGCAGTCAGGGTGACCGGGGCTGCAGCGCACTCCCACCCCCCCGCCCGAGCCCATCACCGGGGTGTCAGGTCCTGGCTGCAGGCTCAATGCCCCCCCCCTCACCCACCAGGCACTGACCTGGGGCTCTGCAGCCGCTTGTACCTCCTCCTTAGCGGGGCTGTGAGAAGAGACAGTAATTAGTTTCTCTCAAACTAATTCTGCCTTCATTAGGCTAATGAGCACTTTCTCCGCCCCCTTTCCCTGCATCCCCACAGCTATTTATAGAGCCAGGGCCCCGCAGAACCCCTCTGGGTGTTGGACAGACAGACAGACACACACATAGGGATGGTGGACAGACACCAGGATGCTGGAGCTCTGGCTGTGCTGTCCCCTTCCCCATGAGCTCTGCTCCCACTTCCCCAGCTCCCCCCTGGGCATCCCAGGGCCTTGCCACCCCCAGCGGGGTACCAATGGGTGCCACCAGCCTTGGGGAGCACCCATGGGGCAAGACACCCCCCACCTCACCCTCACCTCTCCTCCGGCTCAGCCACACCATCCTCATCCTCCTTCTCCTCCGCCAGCGGCTCACCGATGGCCTCCAGCTCACCCAGACTGGGGCCACGCTCCGGGTCCCCCATTCCTGGGGACATCGGGGACCTCAGCGGGCTGGGGCTCAGCCCTCCAGTGTCACCCCACCTCCCGGTCCCTTCGCCTACCCCGGGGCCGCCTCCTGCGGCGGATGGAGGCGCGGACGAGGTCGGAGCCGAGGTGATGCCGGTGGCGCTGGGCGCGGGCGTCACAAAACCAGTCCCCGGTGAGGATCCTCAGCCGCGCCGGGTCCGACACCGACTTGCGGAGCTTGCTGGTGGCGGGACGGCAGCGTTGGCTTCTGCCACCCCGGTGCTGCCATCAACCCCTGCGCCGCTGTCCCCACCATCACCCTGCCCAAGCGGCTGATGGAACCGCAGCGACTCGCCCTGGGGACACCAGCCACCGTCTCCCAGGGTGGTTTGGGACCCCCCGGTGCCGGTGTCACCCACCGCAGGGGCTTCACCCTGGCTGGGCTCAATGGGTGCCCCCATCCCCAGGGGAAAGGAGAGCCCCCCCAGCCTGGCTGCTCTGTCCCCAGGGGTGATGGACCACAGGCTGGCCGCTCTTGGGGGGCAGGCTCACTCTGTCCCCAAGAGTGATGCTGAGCAGGGTGGGGGGGGGGGAACCCCTCCGCCACCATCTCACCTGATGCGACCCTCCTCACGCCGGCGGAGCTGCCAGTCGCGGCGCAGCACCTCGGCGATGGCGTGGCGCTCCTCCTCCGTCAGGAAGCTCAGGTCCAGCAGCGCCTCGGCCCCCAGTTCCAGCGCCATGGTGGGGCGGGGGGGGGGGGCACCCCGGAGGCACCCTGGGGCGCTGGCCTCGGTGGGTGCCAAAAAGCAGGGGGGCTGCAGTCAGAGGGGGCTCAGGGTGCCGGGTGTGCACCAGCATCTGGAGAAGGACCTCGGGGCCGCTTTGGGGTGAGAATCATCCTGACCCTCTGCAAAGAGACGGAGTGGAAGCTCAGCGTGTATAAACCCCCCCCCCCTCATTGCATCCCAAAACACTGCCGGGACCCCCAACAGTGCCAAACCAAGGGGTGGGATGATGGCGGGGGTGCCAAGGGAAGGAGCACGGGCAGGCTCAGGGAAGCCCTGCCGCTCCTCCTGCCTCCGGCCCTGTGCCAGGGCCAGCCCTGCCCGCTCCCGGGATCCTGCCCGCAGCCCGTGTTTGCAAAGGGTGTTTGCTCAGGGCAGGCTCTGCCCCTGCCTGCTTTCCCAAGGGTTTTGTGGGGTGCCACGGCACCGAGATGGGTGGCAAAGGGGAATCCGGACGCCCCCACGATGGGCTAAGACCCAAGAAGGCTGAGAACGTACTCAGCTCATCACAGCCCCCGGGCTGCGGCGGGGGCTCTTGCCCCACTACCCGGCGTTGCCTCACCGCTGCCCTTCCTGGCGCTGGTGTTGGGAAAGCGCTGCCTGGCACGGGATGCTGAGAGCAGGAAATTGCAGCAGCGGCGGGGCAGGATCAGTCCTGCTGCCCGCCCCCCCCCCGGCCTCCCAGCGCCCCCCCCATTGCCGCCCCACGCACCCCACCGGGACCTGAGCACCGGCACAGCCGCACCGCAGCCGGGTTTGGAGGGGGGGAGGTTCCACCTCCACCATGGGGGCTCCAACACCAGTGGCCCTGTGTCCAGCCCCAAAGGTGACTCAGTCCCAGCCCCCCGGGGAGGTGGTCTCAGACATCCCCCCGCGCTGGGGACCCCAGCTCAGCACCCAGTGCAGGATCTGAGCACACCGGTGCTGCTGGGTGCCAACCCCACCACGGCCACCCCCTCCAAGCCGGCACCAGGGACACCCCCCCACACACACCCCCTCCCTCCACCACACACCAGGGACCCCCCCCCATCACCTGGACACCCCCACACGCACCCCCCAGCACCCCGCTCCCCACACTAGGCAGGGGGGAGCACCTTGCAGCCAGCCAAGCTGCACCAGGGCTGGGGGGGGGGGGGGGAGGGAGGGGGCGGGGGGGTCTCGGGGGACACGTACCGGTTGTCACCGGAGCTGGGACGATGCTGCCGCCACCTCCCCGCCGCAGCCCGCTCGTATCCTGTTTACTGGTGGCAGATGGGGGGTGTCGTCGCCGTCCCCCCCCCCCCCCCCCGGAACAGAGCCAGCACCCAAAAAAGTCACCTAGATCTGTCCCAGGCGCTGCTGCGGTTCCCCGGCCCCCGTGGGGACCCCGGCGGGTGGGCGCAACCGGGGTGTAAACAAGCACCCACGTCCCGTGCCTGCTGGCGTGCAGAGGGGTGCTGGGCACCCGGCCCCCCCACCCTGCACAAGAGACCAGTCAAACCAGTTAAACCTCCCCAGTAAGCCACAATTGGGGGGGGGGGGGGGGGGGGGGGGTGCGCGCAGCTCCCTTTTTTTTATTTTGCAAACAGCATGCCGCGACTTTGCAAGCCGCCTGCCGCGACGGGGGAGGGGGGCAACGGATGGCACGAAATGCTCCCTCCTCCCCAAATTCACCCAGGCTCAGCCCCTCCTCCGGACTCCCTCCTCAGTCCCCTGGGGTCTGACAGGCCCCAGCTGCCCCCCACCACAGCCCGGGGGTGCACTCCCCCGCCCCGCCCCCCCTCCCCCCCCCCCCCCCCCAAGCCCTTCCTCCCAGCACCGGGTACCCTGCAGCCCATCCCCGTGGCCTCAGACCCCATCCAGCCCCGCTGGCCGGGCCAGGCCTCTGAAGATGATGATGAAAGCCACCGCAGAGATCGGGGTCCCAGAGCCCCTAACCCATCCCATCCCTCCTCTGTGGGGAGCAGAGCCGGGCAGAGGGGATTTCAGCCCCCCCCCAAGCAGGACAAGAGGAGCCAGCCCCCCCCCCCCCCCAAAAAAAAAAAATCCCTCCACCCCAGGGTGCTGGTGCAGCCCCACCATGGGGCAAGCAGGAGGGTCAGCCCTCCCCCCCCCACCCCCCAAAGCTGATCTTACCTGCCCAGGTCTGGGGTCACGGTGGCTTGTGTCCTGTCCCCCCCACACACACACACCAGCACCCCACGGGGACCCTCGTGGCAGCGGGTGGCCCCCCACCCCGGGCAGGGTGCTGGCGGCCTAGAGCTGAGTCAACCGCAGGCGAGCGAGCGCCTCCTCGCCCCGGCGGCACGAAAGCAGGGACTGGAGCCAGCAACACCCGCCGGACGGGACTGAACTGGGCTCAACTGGGCTCAGCTGGGCTCAACTGGGCTCAACTGGGCTCAACTGGGCTCAACTGGGCTCAGCTGGGCTCAGCTGGGCTCAGCTGGGAGGTGTCAGGCAGCCTGGGAAGGGGTGGTGAGGAGGGGAAGCACCCCGGGGTGGAGGGACCCCCAAACCTGGCGGAGGCTCGACGCCAAGGGTGTGGGCACGGGGATGGGGTGGGAGACACTCCCCCACCCATACACACCGCCCCCCCCCCCCCCCATACACCCCACCCCACCTCACCCCCCCCACCCCCCCCACCCCAAGTCCCCAGCTGGGGGTTTCTGGGGCAGGATGCAGCCCCGGGGTGCCTTACCCAGAGTAGGTTTGGGAGAGCTCCTGGACTGTACTGGAGGGACTGGGCAGACTGGTCTGCCCCCCACAACAGCATCCTGCAGCCCCCCTCCCCAACACACACCAAAAAAAAGCCCAGTGTGGGGCGGTGTGGGGCCCCTGGGGCTTTGCAGCCCCCCCGAGGGAATCCCCAACCCCATGGGCACCCCCCAGCCCCACATCCCCCACCCCATGGGCACCCCCCAGCCCCCCAGCTCCCACCCAATCCCATCTTGTTCCAAAGGGTCGGGGCTCCCCACTGGCCAGGACAAACCCGGGCGCTCAGCCCCACGCAGGATCAGGCCAGCAATGCCTGGCAGCTGCAAACCCCAGCACCCAGGGCAGGAGCATCCTTCCCCGGCACAGCGGGGGGGGGGCTGTGCCTCAGTTTCCCTTAATCACAGGGGGAGGGTGGCTGGGGGGAGGGGCGTGTCAGGCTCCCCCCCAGGCTCCCCCCCAGGCTCCAGCCATCACCCAACCACCTTTACAGGGAGATGGCAGCACTGCTGGGGGAGGAATTGTGGCAGGGTGCGGCGGCAGCAGCCTGGTGGCACACACAGCACAGAACCACAAGAGAAGGGGATTATTTTTAGCGTGGTTTCTAAGGAAATGAGACTTTAGCAACGGCTCTGTCTGTCTGTCTGTCTGTCAGTCACCCTCCCCTTCCTCCCCTCGCAGGGTGCTCACTCACTGCTCAGCTCCAGTGGGGAGAGGTCCCAGACAGACTGATGTCCCTGCTATGGATGCTCTGGAAATGCAGCGAGCGTGGCCGGGTCTCTGCAGGGGGAGAGGGGTGTGATGGCTCGGGGACTGTCGTGTCCCTCCAGGGGTGTTCGTGGGGCCGGTGGCTCAGCTCTGGGTCACCCAGGGTAGGCACTGAGTCTTTTCTGTGTGTCCCAGACCTTTTGTACCAGCAACATCCAGAGTGGGAAATGTTTATCGGCTGGGACTGGGACAGGAAAGGATGTGGCAGGATCCATCCCCTGCTCCTGGGTCTCTGGAGATGGATGGATGGATGGATGGATGGATGGATGGATGGATGGATGGATGGATGGATGGATGGATGGATGGATGGACGGATGGGCAGGTGGCACCCGAGAGCCTGGTGATGGGCTTGCTCAGTGGGGCAATGCCCCCCTTGGGGCCACAGGCAGGAAACTCAGGGCAGCCTTGAGCACGGCACAGCACAGGCAGAGCCAAACCCCATGGCCGGAGGCGTGGGGGGAGCAGTGGGTCACATCCTGCGGTGTGTGTCCCCACCCCATCCCTGGTGACCCAGAGGGGTAGGGAGTTGGCCGGAGGCTCCCTCAGCCCTGTGACACCCGGGAACACGCTGGCCACCAGCACGAGGCAAGCGAGGTGCTGGGTCAGCCCTCGGGGACATTTTCCTTGCAGAGACCGTGGAGCGAGCCAGGCGGCCGCGGTGGCCTGCAGCCCAGCTCCAGCCACCTCCAAAGCCACATCTGAGGGAGCAAACCCCTCCTGTCCCCTGGGTGCTGGCAGCATCCCTGGGGGTGCACAGAACAGGTTCTGCCTCATTTCTGTGCTGGGCGTTCAGGCAGCGGGGAAGGAGCGGGGGCGAGGAGCAAGTCCCGTCCCGCTCCCCAGCCTGGCTCCCCCCCCCCCCCCCAGCCAAGGACTTGTTCTTCAGGAGGCGCAGGCAAGCCTGGCTCTTCTGGGGGGAAACTGAGGCAGGGAGCACGAGCCGGAGCATCGGCAGCGTCTCGCCCGCTGGTGGGTTTGCAGGTGGGGGAGTGGGGATGGATGAGCACCCTGGATGTGTGGGCAGCACCCAGGGGACCGCTGGCTGGGAGCAGCCAGGGTGGGCTGCAGGGCTGGGGGGGAGCTGAGGGAAACGGAGGCTGTGAAGGATCCTGCGGGAGCTGAGCTCCGCGGCCACCAGCTGCCAAGAGCATCTCTGGAGGGACGGGGGTCCCCGGCCCACGTCCGCCTGGCCAGGAGGTGTTGACCCCACATGGTGATGGGGGGAAGGCTGGGAGGGATGGGGGTCCCTCCCCCGGGGACCCCGAAGGGGAGAACAAGGCTTTGTCCCAACACACGGAGCCCATGCAGGCAGGAGATGCTACATCCCCCCACAGGCATCAGCTGCAGATCACAAACATCTCTGCAAGCCAGGGCAGCTTTCACACCCCAAATCTGCCCCACAGACACCCCCCCAGCAGGTTCCCCCAGGCCCAAATGCCCCCCTTCCCTTTATACCATCACTTTTACACTGCCACATGTGTGTGTGTGTCCCCCCCCCAGCGATGGGGCCATCTGGCCGTGTCCCCCTCCCAGGGACCCTCTGCCCTCCCCGGTGCCTTTGATGCGCCGCTCAAGAGCTCCCCAGGCACGCGGGGATGGACTCCCACCTCCCACAGGCTGGGGGGCTGCTTACATGCAGCCCCCTCTTAATTTTTAATTTTTATTCCCCACAATAGAGCAGAAACATTGTGGCATTTCCACCTTTGGCTCTGGCTGGGGATGATGCTCAAGGCCTGCCTTGGGAAGACACAGGTATCAAGACTCCCCACGTTGGGTCTTGCATCCCCTTCCCCTCCTCGGGAAACAACGTGGATGATGGGGTGGCCGAGGATGAGGAGGGAGCTGCAGCCTCGGAGGCAGCACAGCGCGGAGGCACCATGGCCGCAGGCAGCCCGGCCACCGCCGCTGGCACCTTCAAAAGCTTCCACCGTGCAAACGCCTAAGTGCAATTTGATATTTCTCCCCAGGGAGCCCTTTGATGCTCCCCCCCGCCCCCCCGGCTAAGGGGATGAGAAACAGGGGCTCCTTCCCCCTCCAGCCAGCTGCAGCAAAGTCACCCCACTTCAAAGGCGGCTCCACGCCAGCCCCACGGCTGGTGATGGGCTGCCCACTCCCCCATCCCCACAGGGAGGTTGGGGACCCCTGGCCCTGCTCCCCGCACTGAAGAAGCCCCCGCACCGTGACTGCAGGGGTGGAGGGGTCACGCTCAGCCACCCCAGGCGAGGGCAGAGGGGTGGGAGGCAGCCGGGTCCCTCTGACGATTCGGTTCAGGCCATTTGCCAGGTTGGGACGGATCCTGCCCCGGCGTGTCGCAGCCTCCCTGGTTTCCAGCAGCCTCGGACCCTCCCAGGGCTGGGCTGGCAACGCTGAGGTAGAGGAGAAAATAAATAAATGAGAGGAGCTGGGCTTGCACAGTCCAGCCTCCTGCCGCGGCTGTGAGCACCCCGGGCGCCCGAGTGTGACTATCTTGGCACATTCAGACCGAGTGCTTCTGTATAATCCCCAAATACCACGACCCGAACCGCGCGGCTCAGCTCCCGCGCGCCTCCAGCCAGATTCCCTGCAGCTCCCCGGGGAAGCAGAATTGGGTTTGAAAAACCCTGCCACGCTTGGGAGGCGAGGAGGGACCCAGCAGGATGGTTCCAGCAGTACAGAGCCACGCACGCCGGGCAGAGCACGTTCCCGGGGGTGTGTTTTGCAGCCTCACCTTGTGCTCCAGCGGCAGACGGGTGCAGGATAAAGCCCTGGGAAGCTGCTGGCCATCCCCGCCGCTGCCGTTCCGCAGCCCTGGAGCTGAAGCAGGGCCTGGAGTTAACACAGCCACAGGAGCAGCGTGGTTTGGATGGAGGGGCTGAGCAGGAGAGGAGCCAGGTGGTGGTTTTTGTAAGATGGCTGCGCCGTTAAATCCCCGAATTTTAAGGCTAAATCTACTTCCCCCCCACCCTGCAGCTTTGGCCTCTGGATATCGGATGTAAGGGAAAAATCGGCTGCAGCATTAGCAATCCTTACAGCACTCGGTGCCCCAGCTCCCCTGGGTCCCAGTTCAGGCAGTGGTATCCTGCTGGGAGAGGGGAAAACGAGGCAGGCTCTTGGCATCCCACTCCGCTCCCCCAGACTCAGCACATGCGTCCCCTCCCCACCAGCCTGCAGGGAGATGGAAGACGGGGGGCTCTGCGCTGGCGGGGGAAAGGAGCCACGAGGCCAGGGCCCCCAGCCTCCAAGAAAATAGAGATGTCAGAGACTTACGGGAAAGGGAAGATGTTCACAGCTAAAGGGGATCAACTTGCAAGAAGGGGTTTTATAATCTAAGAAAGCATCCTCCTTCCCAGAGCAGCTCTGCTGCCCGGGCAGAGGCTGAGGGATCAGCCAAGGGCAAAAGCGGGCACGGCCTCTTCTCCCAGACATAATAAAGGCTGGTGGTAGGTCCCTGGCTTTGAGATCTGGCCTTGAAATTTTGTGACCCTGCCAATGCTTCCCACGCTGCGGCACTTGGGTTCCTCCTGCCTCCAAAACCCCCCCTTCCCAACAGCAGGTCAGAAAACAGGGTTGTGAGGTTTGATCTGGAGCAGAGGAAAGGGCAAATTCATGAGGTAAAAGGCATGGGAGCTTCAGGGTCCAGCTCCTGCGGGCAGCCAGACACACTGCCATGGGGCAGGAGAGGGGCTGGAGTGAATACTCATCCCGCTCCTGGCTGGAAGGAGGAAAGAGTCGTGACTATAAGAGATGCTACACTTGGAGACATCCACAGAAATAAGTTTATTTCCCCTACCGTCAGGATTATGAAACCACAGAAGCACAGTTTAAATATTTACAAAGTAATCCAGCGCCCCACAGAGATGAAGAGAACAAAGGATGAGGGTACGGAGGGCTCGCCCTCGCCAGAGAGCAACGGCAAAGCCACGGAGCTCTGCAGCACAAGCACGTGCAAAGGGGAAAGGAGGGGAGCGGAAAACTGGCATCTGGGAGGTGAAGGACAGGGTGGACCTTTGATGTGGCTGGTTGAAGGGGGCACTGCGAAGAAGCCGGTGGCGAGATGAAGGAAGCTGCAAGGAGAGGACATTCCTTCCCCACCCACCCATTCTGCCACCTCCCACGCCAAGAGGAAGCAGCCCACTCCCCCCCCCCCCCCCACCGACCGCAGCCGCTGGCTGCAGCGCCACGGGGAACCCACGCCGAGCACCGCCGGGCTTCCTCCGCACTCCCACAGCGTAGGAAAACCTGTAAACGTGACCAGCCCACCCGCCTCGCCCAGCAGCCGACCTCCGTGGGCATCATCCTGCGTTGTGCAGCTCCGAGTGTCCAGCACGGACGTGCGGGCTGGCCCTGCCGTACCTCAGCTTCGGGCCTTGCTCTCCCGTTAGCCGCGTTTCCTTCGGATGCCCGGAGCAGTCTTCCGTCTCCGTCGGTGGAAGCGGGTCGGCTGTTCAGCCAGAACTCCAAGCAACTTACGAGGCTCACCTGCTGCTCATGGTAAAGTGTCCATTCGAAACCCAGATCTGGTGAAAAAAGCGTTAGGAGCAAACGACAAGGATTTTCACGGTGGGGAATGGCACTCGGCATGTTCTCAGAAGTCCCAGGAGCAGGGACAGTGGCCAGCAGCCCCGCTCCCGGCCTCTCCCGACAAATTGAAGTCTCAGCTTTGGCAACACTTGTATAGCTTGTCGATAAAACACTGAATCAACGTGTGAGACAGGCCTAGGAGTCTCTAGGTTATTGCTACTGTGTAAGACAGGTTGGCTTCAGCCCTGGGGCCAGGGACTCCAAGCGCATCCTTGGCGGGTCACTCCGAGAAATCATACTTAAATTAAAAACAGAGGCAAAAGACTAATCTCTCCTGTTCAACTGGCTTGTCCTAGGGCACGTTAGCCAGCAGGCTAGCCGGGTGGAGACCGCAGCAGCACAGAGGAGCTCGGTAAGACACCATCCTTTCATCGTAAGGTTCTCTTTGATCAAGATCTTGGCTTTCTAATCAGCCCCAGGCCCAGCACCCTGCAGCCCGCCCTCCACACAGGCTTGAGATGATTGTGCAGAGCAGACACCGACGACTATTTCAGTTCCAGGTAGACGGGGAAGGGCACTGAGGTCTGCACATCTCCACCCATCCCAGAAAGGCCAGCACCAGGTGACAGAGGCAAGTGGACACTAGGGAGAAGGGAGGGTTAAAGGGGTTAAGTGACTGAGGAAAAGGAGGAAATGCAGAAATTGAGGAGCCCAAGAGGAGTCCCCAAGCCTCCCGTATGGCTAGAGATGGAAGCGGATGGAGAGGCACACGGGGACAGGCCTGAGAGCCAGGTGACAGTGAATGGCCTTCCCAGTCAGAGGGAGCCAGAGAGATGGCAGGCAGTCGAGAAGAGCCTTCTTGCTGGCCACGAGCACTCCTTGAGGTTGAAATCCATCAGGTAGTGGAGTAAAGAGCTGGCCTTTCAGGGCATGAGTGGAAAATCTACTCTCCCGCCCCTGCAGTCAGAAGGGATCTGCTCAACTGCATATAAACCTTCAGCCATGCTTTTTAAAGAAAGCCACCTGGCTCAGAGCCCCAGAGAAAGCAGCATCTGCAGGCCAGAGCCTCAGCACACACAGACCCAGACCTCTCGCTCTGCAAGAGGCTCTGGGTCATGTCCAAATTCACTTCCTGCCTGGAACTCAAAAACAACCTGCCCCCATGCTACTCATCCTGCCCGATCCAGGGCTCAGAGGGGCCATCAGCCCCCCCCAGCGCTGCCAGGCCAGCATTTCTCACATCCAAGCCAGTCCTGCAAAGTGCTTTTGCCCCAGGTGTGCTCTTCAAAGCACGCCAAGGAAGTACACAGACCTTCTGTTGACCATCCTGGAGCCAGCGACAAGAAAGCCAGTGTCCCAGTTTGCTGCTGCAAAGCCCAACCAGAACATGGATGCTTTCCAGTCCCTTCACCTTATCTTTTAATCTCTGACAGCCCCGCTAAGCTGAGGTCTCAGGTGCTGCTCTCATGGATGCTTTCAAACCCCTACCTTAAGTCTTCTGCCCCAGAAATGTGTCCCTGCTGCTGCTGCCACCTCTGCAGGCTCACCAATGCTGCGACACACAAAGTACTAAGGATCAAAGGAAAGTGAGTGGCTCGTGAGAAGCGTAACAATAATTTTAGATATTCAGAGCACAGGGAGAAGCTCTATTTTTTCTGGCACAAGCTAAAAGGGACGTAGCAGTAGACTCCCAACTCTGCAACAGGCTACTGAAAGACTGCCATGCGCCATACCCAAGCCACTCGATGGACTTTCCTGCCTTCCTGGGCTCACCAGCAGGACCAGCTGAATTTGCCCTGCCACAGAGCGTTCCTCTGTGCGCCTCCTCAGAGGAGCATCCCGCCGTCAGCGCCTTTCTGTCACTTCTGGGGAGACCATCCGTGAGTGCTGCGGCACTCCACATCCCCCAGAGGAACCCCACACCTCCACTTTGAAACATGTGCTACAGGAGAGTCGTGCAACGGGGAAACAACTCCTTCTTGGAGATTCGGGAAATCTGAGGAAGCAGCTGATGAACTCTGCCAAGAGGAAGAAACCAGGTGATCAGAGAGAACCTTACAAGGTGTTATCTGCTCGTGCTCCTTGTGGCTTTTCACTTGGCACTGAAAGCAAAGGTGCGACACCTCTCCTTTCCTGATTGGGTGTCTACCTACCAAATTGCAGAAAGGGAGTATATTCAGGGAGAGAGCAAGAGGCTTCAAGACCCCTGACACTGGGAGACACCATCGACAGAACAAAAACAGAAGGAAAAGAAGCCAGTTCCAGGAAACAAAGATGAGCTGCTACAATGGAGTGGAGTTGCCACCTTCCCCAGAAAACGCATCCCAGAGTCCCATGCTGCCATCTCACTGGATCAGTCACAGTCACAGTTTCTTCCTTCGTGTGCCCATGGAATGGGGAGTTCACATCTGCCATCACCGCAAATGAAGTGTGAGAACAACGGTCATGATGACCCCCAAGAAGAGGACAAAGGGAAGCCAGGTCTTCACAAATCCCCCTATGCTGAAAAACAGGAAAAGAGGGGAAGGGTTTAAACATACGAAATCAGCAGAGAAAGACAAAATGAAGGATGTTAGAATAACTGAAGAAATGAGAGGGACACAGATGCCCTTCTGACTTTCTTATCCGTTGCTGGCACTGCCACACATCACATCCTGGAGATTCAGTCAGTATTAAAAATAGAGGCTAAGTCAGGTCCACAAATAACTATATCATGAACAACAGGGCTGGACTCTCCTTCTAGCTTAAATTCAGTTCGAAGACTAGCACGTTTCAGATCTGTACAGACAAGAGTGGTGACAGGAGACCACAAGAAATTAAATACCATTACCACAGGCCTCGTTATTCAGGCTGCTGGCGCATTTAACCAAGATGGCTGGGACTACACTTGGCTAAAATCTGGTAGAGAAGCTTTTCAAGAACAGGGAAGACTGAACAGAAGTGGAGCAACTCCAAAGCTTTATGCAGGCCAGTCCTCGTAGAATCTCCTCTTCAAGCACAAGGAGCTGAAATGGAGATTAAGTGCCCTTTCTAGTAAGGAAAGCTCAGGGTTTCCCCCTCCACTCAAGTTGGAAGCTCCACAGCAGCTGAAGTCTGACCAGTTTGTCTTGTATGTAAACAAGATTCAAGAGAAGGAAGAGAAACCAGTAATCCTTGGAGACAAGCCATTCTATGACCTTATGTTCTGACCTAACCCAGCCACAAGAAAACAGAGCGAGATTTGCTTTAGCTATCATTTCCCAAATTCCAGGCACCCTAAATTAGCTGCCAGATACAGTATTTCAGGAGCAGCATCTAGTGCAAGCCAGCAAGCACTCTTGGTTCTTTTCCTAAGAACAGGCAACACGCAGTGACAGTACCACCTACTAGCAACATACATGTGTGGGGGAAGAGATGTTTCTCCCTTCTCCACAGGGCAGGCTGATGCTTTAGGGGGCTAGGAAGAACAAAGAAAAAGCCCCTTTGTCTGCTGAATCTAGACTGCTCCTCAGCTTACCTTACATACTTCCCATATAGGAGTGAGAAGAAGCAGAGTTTCACCATGTTCCAGGAGGTGCTGTTATCGTATTTCATCAAGTTTAAGGCCAGAGCCACATGGGAATGGCAGTTATCACAGCAAAGGTTGTGCTACAACAGAAAAAGGAGCACGGGATTAGAAATCCTGTTCTTGAGGCTCCCCAGCTGTGCACCCTGTGCTGGTGCAGAGCCACAGGTCCCACTCCAGCAGCAAGGACCCAACTCTGGGGAGATATTCCTTCTCACACAGACAGGACATCACCACCAGAGCCGTACCATTCGGTGCTTGTACTCCTCCGAGGCATCGTGTACAGCTGTGTCCCAGGCATTGGGACTAGTGGAATATACTTTGCTGGGATCCAGCTTCCAGTACCTAGAAGGATGAGAACGGATCCCTTTGCGTTACTGCTGCACCTTCACAACTTCTTGCTCTTCCCAGCAGGAAGATGCTTAAGGAACTTAGAGACTCCACTATCTCTGGAGTCCACGGAGCCGAGCTCTTCAAGACAAGCGTATGCTGCAGAGGGCAGCAGAAACTGCTGCTCAGCACCCTCCGCACCCCAGATAAAGAAACTGCAGACCTCAGGGGCACAGACAAAACTCTGAGCTGCTTTCACATCCTGTGATATGAAACCTTCCGGCCATTCAAAAGGTTAACCTGATCTGACAGATACACAGAACCCAGGCACCTTTCCTCCTCCCCCCAGAAAATCATTAACAGGATGTAAGTGATGACAGTTCATTAGTACAGCGCAGGCAGTATTTACTTGGAGTGCTTGTTAACATTATATTAAAACGTTTTAGCCTTCCCTTTCTTTTTTTTTTTTTAATAAAGGCTCCATACAGCTCTAGTTATTAATACTACTACATTGCTGTCATGCTTCTAAAAAGATTTAATTTAACATGTTTTTTTGAAAAGCAGATACAGTAGCCATCCACTTGAATTAGGGCACCTGAACAACAAGAAAAGCAATATTATAGCATGTCTGTCTCCATGAATTAAAGGACATCTGCAGGTCAGTTGGTTAGTTTAATAAAAACTAACAAGACCACTTACTTCACTGGCTTCCCGAATGCCATGTTGTCTTCCTACAAAAAAGGAAAAATGTCTCAAGAGGATAAACCCACGCAATATTCATGACATGACTCTTGCTAGAAGGCCTCACAGCCCGCAATTGCTTAGTGATAAAACTGTCACATTGCCTCAGCAGTCTCAAGACACCAATCTTATTTACATGTCTGTATTTAGATTTCAATTGTTTTCATACTCCTGTTCTGGGCATGAGTATATTTATACTCTATACATGGTGCAATCATCTAGCTATATGGTGTAAATACCTTGTTCCACCTCCCTTTTTTTAAAGAAAACTTCTAATACCTTGTTAACTCAAAGTTGTAAATGTCCTGATCTATTAAGAGCATTCATTATCCCAACTTAAAACTCCCTTACTTTCAAAATCCATCAGACTATAAAGCAGTTTAGAAGACTAGCACATACTTGATGCTAAGCAGCATGACAGTAACAGGCGTGCTGAGGAAGTTGGAAGGCAGCTTCTGCTGCTCAGAATTAGACTACCGTGAGAGAATTTAGGTCCAAAATTCCTAATTAAGAGCCCGGACTACAAGAGTTTTTTCTCTTCTGCTCACCAAACCAACTAGCCGCTATCTATCATATCCCCCAAACGACCTCCACCAGACAACAGCCCACGGAGTAATAGCAAAGATCCATGATCTTCAGAAACATCTGAAGCCACTACTTTGCAGAACTTTGAGCTGCAAAATACAGGGGATGGCTCAAAAGTCACCAGCAAAGGCGAGAAGCGGACCAAACACAGATTCTGCTTAAGCACCCGGATCCATCATCTACTTACTGAGACAAAGTACGGCCCCGCAAAGTCCCGAATGACTCCAGTCGACGTGCAGATCCCCATGTGGCCAATGATCGGGAAGAGCCATCTACCGAGGCAACAAGCGAACCGTCAGGCTGAGATATTTGCCCCCCGCTCACACCGAGTACGTGCAACATGCTGCCAGGAGACTGCTGGAGCGGCCGTACAACCAACTGCATAGCATGGGACAGACAGGCACAGTTAGCGTGTGACAGCAGCCGCGAGATGAAAGCAGGTGAGCCAAAGCCAGGCAAAGACCGGTAAAGACGCGGAAGAGGTACAAGCAAAAGAAAACCGCGCAGGGAATACCCAAAGCTGTGCTGACCAGCAGGTCTAGAGTCAGCTCGGCCGCGGGGCTGTCAGGTTCTGGGATTTTACCGTGCGCGGCGGCAGTTACGGAGAGCCCATACCACACACATCCCTGGCCAGGGGAAGGCGAGCCCTGGTCTCTCAGAGCAAAGCCATTTGCGAATCCAAGCGAAAAGGTCAGATCCAGGAGAAACCTCCTTCAGATAAAACCAGACTTTCCACTTCAACAACTGAAAATAAGGTCACCCTGCCCATCTTCCTACCTACGCTGCAGCTTTTCACAGCAAACTAGATTTAAGCACCCCAGACAGAAAATGGGGCTCCTGGTTCCAGAAAGAGCATTCCCTCCTCTAAACAATCCCATTGTTTCAAAGACCTTCTCCTCCACGTTGGATATTTATGGCCCCAGGGAGCAGCAGATCTGTATCCCAACCCTCTTCCATCATCACCACTCAGAAGGAGATACTTCAGGCCAAGTTACAGCTCTCTCCCACATCCTCAGGCATTCTCAGGTTTGCTGCCCTCTCTCTGATTTCTCACTCCTCTCTCCCCGAGGGACTGTGCACAGTGACTAATATTTCAGAAGAGATTACAGCAACTCTAACCAGAAACAGATTCACAAGTCACGGCTCAATCAGAGAAATCCTAAAACTATCAAAATCAAAAGGGACTGAGGCGGTTAGATGTTACGAGGAAAGACAAGCCACACACGCCGATAAGCGCAGCTGAGGTTATAAATAGCATATAGCTCCCATTGATAACATAACCCTGTGACGTAGAGAAAGGACTCTGCAAGGTTTGATGTTCTGCACTGGCACCACTTACCCTCTGCGTGTTCCTATCTGGTGCGATGCAAAGTGGCCAGACAGTTTGGCTACCTGTGCAATGTTTTATCAGCCAGAAGATACAGCTGAATATAACACTGTCACAGCATTGCCACCTTCAAAGGTCTAGGCACTTGCTCCTTTTTTTAATCCTCCTTTCAGCACTGACTAGTTTTTAAGCCCCCAAATCCAAGGATGACAGGAAACTTCAGAGGGAGAAAATGGAGCTAATATGCAGTCGAATGAGAGATTTTGACAAATAACACCACCAAAATTTCTGCTGCAAAACAAATCAACAGGAAGATGTTACTATTCATCAGGGAATGAACCCACAAACAAATACGGATGCCCAGTGACTTTGGGAGCAGGTCAGCTCTCTTCATCAGTCCCAGCAGGAGATAAGAAGGTTAAAAGCTTTGGAAAATCCTTGAGAAAAAGACTAAGGTGGGAATTTTTAGCAGTCAAAAAAAAAAAAGAGGTAAAAACCAAAGCTGGTTTGTAGCTCTATGAGAGACAGCAGCAGGAAAGTTGCAGCTTCCCCTCGCCGAGGAGAGTTGCGATGCCGTTCCCAATCCTGGCACAGACCACACCACGTCTTCTACCTGACTTTCAGCTCTGGCTCAGTAAACATTATCACCTGATTTGAACCGGAGGGAAAGAGGAAGGCATAAAAACAAGCCTTTGTGTTCCCAGACTACCCCCAAAGCCACATTTTACAGTTTTTAATTTTCCCACGACCAGAGAAAAACTCAGATCTCCTCAGAGCGTGCTTACACTTGGCCGCCAAGACTGGGAAGGCAAATCAACTTCTAACTCATCAAAAGCGAAGCGCAGAGACTCTCCTCAAGGCATGAGGTGGTCTAAGATCCCCGCAGCCAAACCTTTCCTCCAAAACCATGAAAGACTTCCCACGTTTCACGCCCGCTCTCCTGCGGAGACAAGCCCGCTCACCGCCGAGCTTTCCCCAAACACGCCCTTGCTGCGGGGAGAGGAGAGCACTACCCCAAGGGCTGGATGCTCCGCGGGCCCCGAAGCAACCTGGCACCCCGAAGCGGGCCGGGGACCCCGCCTGCCCCCGGAGCAGGCCAGGCAGCCGGTTCCCCCAAAGCCGGCCGGGCTCCCGGGAGAGGCGAGGGGGGCCCCGGCCCCCGCACTCACGTCAGGACGGGGATGGGCGTCCACACCACGCAGTAAGGAAAGCGGCCGCGCTCGGCGTCCAGCCCGGCCCCGCCGCCACCATTAAACTGCTTCATCTTGGCCTCCGCTTCCGCCATCACCGGGGCCCGCCCCCCCGCCCCCCAGCGCGCGGCCCGCCGCGTTTGCGTCACTTCCTTGGAGACCGCGCCCGCTTCCGGCCACGGCCGGTAACCAGGAAGCGGCACCGAGCAGAGCCCCCCCCCCCCCCCCGGAGCGGGCGGGAAGGGCCCCGGGGCTCCATCAGCCCGGGCCGCTGCTGGACGGAGCGTTGGCTCCCTGCTCCTCACACCCCCCCCGGGGTTCCAGCGGCTTCGCGGGGTGCAGAAGGGCCGGGGTGGGGGGAGTGGGGGGGAGAGAAGATGTCGCAACGGGGGCTTCTTCTCCGGTGAAGCTCCTGGAGGGGCCGGTGCCTTCACCCCTCGCACCTACCTCGTGCGGATCCTCAGCAGCAAACTCCTCCCCGCCGCCCTTCCCAAAGAGCAGAAGGTGGAAGAGTCATTCACAGAAACCGGCGCGGAGAAGAGCCCCTCCGGAACGTGCAAAGAAGCATCACACTGAGCCGCCCCTCGGAGAAGGGGAGGTCAAGGTACTGCAAGGGGAGGAACAGCATTTACAAATGGAGAATCAGATTAGAAAAATAACAATTGCTTTATTAGGAAGTTTAATTCAAACTACACGGGAAAGCTGAAGAAGAAATACGTTTATTCCAGATTTCCACCCACCACAACACACTCGGCAAGATACAGAGTGACAACGCACTGAACTAGTGGGAAGAACAGGGAGGACATCGCTTGCCCCAGCCCAGCAGACCCAGGATGTGCAGGAGAGCTGCCACCTGTCCAGCCCCCGCTCTCCTCTCCACATCCTTCCCGGCTTTCCTTGGAAGCTGCTCGTTTCCTCCTCACGCAGAGACCTTGAGCTGCGTTTCCCTTCAAAGCCCATGATCAGCAGAGCTCTCCAGCCCTGGTTGTGGTGGTACACAGCACGCAGCCGAAGGGGTTTGCTAATAAAACAGTCTTGGCCCCTTGCTGCAGGTGGTTGGGTTCCTCCTCCCGCGCAGCTCCGGCACGCCGAGGTGCTGGCTTTTGTTATTAGCAAACCCTGTTAACGTTGAGAGCCGCGCTCCCAACAGCCATCACAAACTTACAAACTTACAGCTTCCACATCACGGCCCCACTTCTTACCAAATTTTCTCTCCTTCATCAAAGGCTTATCTCTATGTGTTCTGCTTTCCATTACCTGATTTTGCTCAATAATTAAGCCGAGTCCAGCCTTCCACATTTATCAATGTATTCTCTGTTCTGGGGACAGAACAGCATTTACATGCTCACTGAATTTTAGGCTAGTGAAGCTTCCAGCTTGAAAGCCCAGGAGATCTGTAACCTCTACCCACAGCAGAGGCATGTCAGAGGGGACACAAATTCGGAGTTGCCGCTATGGCAGTAGAAAGCATTTGCTAACAGTCTAGTGTAGAGGGGTCTACCCGCACTCGATACATGCTAGCTTGTCATACGAGTACTTGGGCTTCAACACAACTAGCTTAGTACTGCACTGAAGACTACATTTCCTCGCCTCTACCGAGCCCTCAAGAGATCACCTAACATCCCACCTCATTTCCCAGTCTAGATCATGTTTTAGGACAGCCCCTCCAAGGGGGATGGCTGCTTCAGAGGCATCTGGGTGGAAGCAGAGCCATCCACTGAGGCGCTCACCTCAAGCTGTGGTGTGGGGCACCATCTCAGCACGACATGTCACTGCGTCAAGAGTTGATCAAGAGCCTGAGATTGTGCTCCTCGGAATCTGATGGTGAGGGAATTCACAAAATAGTCGGGTTCCAAAAGAGAGAAAGCCGAGGAAATATAGACACTCTTGAGAGCAAAGCCATGCCTGGTGCTTTGGTTTCTAACAGACATTTCCTATTTTGGCACTTTGGATGGAAGATGTGCACAAAGGTTGTATGTGTTTCAGTGAACACTTTTTGTTCGATGAAGAAAAATACTTGCATTGATTTGCTCCAGGCTAACATAAATATCAGAGATTGTTAAAAATCTATGAATAGGGGCCAATGTTCACATCAGCTAATGTGGTCCTGGCACGTTTGTCGGATTAGGCAATGGATTTGCTCTTCCTGCTTGTGTGTCGGAGGCTGCTAAGCAGCATATCACCAGGGACCAGCTCCCTTGGCAAAGCCACGCAGCAAGGACGACGGCGACAGCCTCAGCAGGACGCGTCTCCCCACAGAGCCTCACACCCTCCCCTCCCGTGTGGGCAGGGGGCATTTCACACAGCCCCGTTTATTCCCTCTTAAACCAAGTGCAGGAAGTCAAACCCAGCTGCTGGAGCATGGGAAGAACACCATTTTCCCCTGGCTGGATTTAAAAAAAAAAATAAAATAAAAATAATCAATACAGCACTCCTGTACTGCACAGCTGTCTTTTGTGTTTGTCAGGCAAGCAGAAGGGCTCTCCATCCCCAGTACCGCACTGGCAGAAAATGGGTGAGCTGTAGCTGACAGCAGGGTCTTCCTAGTGACAACTGGAAAGCTGCTGCTGTTCTACTGCTATTGATCTAAGCAGAATACAAAACACCTGAAGTCAGCAGGGAAAAATAGCTGCAGTTGGAAAAGAAACTGCGGGGGGGGGGGTGGGGGGGGTGGTGTGTGTGGGGGGGGTGGTGTGGTGGTGGTGGAACAGGGAGGGGAGAGCAGGTAAGAAGTTCTCCATGCATAAAATTAAAGGCTGGGCTTTTTATTGCAGCTATCTTGCCTGACTACAATACTGGATCGATGTACAGAGCAGGAATACTGCCATCATTGTTTTTGCAAGCTCTCATTTGACGAGAAACAAAAGGTTTCACTCCCACTTCTGCCAGCACCTTGCCACCGATGGCTCCTCTCTCCCGTTGCCAGCGAGGGAGCAGCCCTACCTCCCGTCATCGGCCCAGACATCCTCAGGACAATGATCTTTGCCTACTCACTGCAGGTGCCAGTGCATCGCTCGCACCCTGGAGCCGCCGAGCCCTTCTGAGAGGAGAGCCTGCCCGCTCCGGGAAGCGGCAGCCCAGACCTCACACCGGTTTGGGCTTGTCCAAGCACTCGCCACCATGGCTATAGCTGGAGCTCGGCCTGGAAGGGATTCGGTTACCTCCCCTTTCTACCCCGGCTCATCTCTGAGCCTGAAAGAAGCAGGCACCCAGCCAGCTCTCGTTCGGTAAGCAGCTTCCTTGGGAACCTTCCCTGTTGTGACAGCTCAAACATTACAGGGACTGCCAGAACCAAACCACTCAAGGAAGAGATCCCCTCCCCCTTCTGACATTGACAACCAAGGCAGCAGCAGGCAACACCGCGTGCAGGAGTCTATTTAAAATGTCACCGAGGCACGGGCTGATGGAGGACACCAAGGCGTCCTTCCCCCACCCTGGAGGTGATGCTGGGGTGGGTTGCTTTGTGTTTTTGTTGTTCCTTTCCTGTGGTCTGTGCCTGCTGCAATGTGACAGCCTCTAATCGCTCAGCGTGAACCAGAAACGTCACTCGCATCTGTATTGATGATGGTGCTACTCACAAGCGCAAGAACATACGCAGGCTCAGCCACCCACCCCAAAAGCATGCCCCTAAGCCATCTCACCCCTCGGCTTTAACCTTCAGGTATTTTCTGCTTCCTCCGTCACTTGAAAGCTGCATTTCTTCCTCTCTCCCCTCTCCAGCTGACACAGCCGACCCACAGGGCAACTTTTATGTTTAAAGGAAGAGCCACCGGTTTCTGAGGGACAAGGGGCACAAGGTGGAAGCGCTCAAAGAGCCAAGTGCAGGTCACGATGATTTCTTGGCTATGAAATCCACAAAAAGGGCCCACCTTCTCTCCTTGCCAGCCCCGGAGGGGGACCCAATCAGTCTCATCTCCTGCAGCAGCAAGGCCTGAACAACCTACAAGGAGCACAACGGGCAGAGGACCGAATTCCTCACTGTAACAACAGCAGGCAGTTTTCTGACATCCTGCTCCCATTTTGCTCGGAGACAGGAGCCATCTTGAGCCCTTTGCAGACTTGTTCCTGGCACTGCGAACAGTCACACAGAGAAAAGCAAACTCAACAGTAGGGCTGCAGTTGTTCCTCTCTCCCCACATCCCAGAGCATATTGCTCCTCTTCCTCCTCAACCCAATTCCCTTACCCAAATTACAAATAAAACTAATTTTCTGGGTCCTTCTAGCCATTTCCAACGACGATTCAACCACTCGGCTTCCCCTTCCACGCTTCCTCTTTGTCCAACCATTCAGTCCAAGATCCGACCTAATTAGTTGATTGCCAATTCCAGCTGTGGATGCACACTGCTGAGCAGAGCTGTCTTTTAAAGCAATAATTTATATCAGACAGGATTTGAAATGAAGAGGCCTCAAAAGGCCTTCAGCTGAAAGGTGCCCAACAGGAATTTTTAAGAGGAGTTCAAGAGGATTCTCAAAATAACAAACTGGTTTTCTAACTGTTAGTTAAGGCCTGGAATTCTGCAGCTTGAGGGCAGGAAAGCATTTGGGAAGTTTTGCAGCAGGAGCCCAGAGAAGAAAGTGAGTTTGTGATATCCTTGAGCAAGGGATCATCTCTGGGTCTAAATGCTGATGTCCCACACACCCTGCAGAGTGTGAGACACTTTAAGGCAATAAGTGCACTGTTTCTGACAGCGGAAACGTCTCAGAAGATCAGTCAGTAACACGGGGACTCGGGCAGGTGACCTTGGGTCTGCCCCACAGCCTAAGCCACCCAGGCTCTGCTTCTCAGGGCAAGAGGCTATTTAAGAAGAGCTTAAAAGGCGAGGATGGACTGTTTTCCCTACTCAGCTTTATGCCTCCCCCTCACTCACCTCTAACTCTTGGGTTCAGCAGTGACTCGAGGATTTTATCAATGTTACCCTCCACCCTGATAAAGCATGATTCAGAGAAACCACCTCCATCACAGCACCATTCAGCCTTCTGTAAGATGTGTGCATCCTTTCTCTCTTCCCCTCAGACCAATGTTTGCAGCTTTAGCTCTAAACCAAGCCAGAGGTGGACTCTGCTCCCAAACACAGCCCCAGCCCTTGCTCCGCCACCAGATCTGAGCTCCCACACCTGGACAGAC